TTTAGTTATGTACACACAATTTAAATATACTGGAATGAATGGAAATAAGGTCACATATATTCCTAACTAGAAGCTTCTTTCAAGTAAAATAACCTACAGAACCAAGCATCATATCATTACAGTTGTGTGTATATTATTATATTTCTATCCACTGACTACACCCTCTTATCAGAATTACTTTATTTATTAGTTGATCTAATGTATTAGTTAACTCTAGATCCTGTTGTACAACCTTTATGCTCAACCCATATGTGTTATTCAATTGACTCATTTGTTATGATAGCAATCCAATGTAAATGGTCTTGACTGCTTGCCCTTCCACAGTTCTCATTAGACTAATGAAAACCTTCAAACGACAAAACTAAACAACCTGCCAAAAAAGGGTCTGAGGTTATTATGAAAATTGCAACTCTGGGAGCTGGATGCAGCTTTGTTCATTTATTCATCCTCAGCAAATTGCTAAGCAATTTACTTGTACTCCTCTGCATTAATGGATTAATTTTATTTTTAAAAAGTGTTTTCTTTTAAAGACCCTAAATAACAGTGCCCATGTCTCCTGCAACAATTTCAGATCATTGGGAATTGTAATCACATTTAACACTATATCAATAAATGAATGCTTGAATAATCATCGGGCTGAAATATTGAAAGGAAATAATGAAATCCTGCGAGAAATCCTGGTTGCAGTCACATGGCATTTTCTCAGGACATGACTTCAATTGCATTACACACTGACTGAATTCTCTAATCCACATCCATTTCTATAATTAGATTATGCAGTAACTAATGTACAGAGCATCCAGTAGCACATGGAAGAAAACAGGAAACTGCAACAGCATTCCACAACTAAGAAAAACATCATTTAATAATCCTAGAAATTCACACGTGTATTCACACATCTGGAGTCCTGTAGCTCAGTGGCTAGAGCACTCGCTTCGCAAGCAAGAGACCTGGGTTGGATTCCCGGCAGGGTGAAACGCTGGGCAAGTTTCCTCACTCCACACGCCTGTGTTTCGTCCACAAAATATACAGCCAATTCAGTTTACAGTATATGCTGTGAAAAGTTTTGAGCGGTCCGAAGATGTGATAAGGCACGATATCAAATGCAAGGATTATTATTATTATTATTAGTGGACTACAAAACGTCAGAAAAGGTACTTCCTTCCAATGGTTCAGTTGCTAAAGTCTTAGTCCAGTCTATAACAGCTGTACAAATCCAGTCATTCCCAGGTTTAATCACAGTACTGTGCTACGGTGGCTGATCTTACACAAACAAAAATATCAGGTAATCTAGGGTGGGAACAAAATCAAATGAACCCTGTCAGATAATGACCATGAATGGGAATTGGGTGACGTTTACCCTCCTACCTCCTGTGAAATAGCCTGCTAACATTCAGTGTGTATGTAGGTTTACATATAAAGAATGCTCAGAACAATTACTGAAGCTAACGTTTTGACCTTAACTGGATTCAATGCATAAAGCCAACTACAGAAACGTCTTTCTTCTTAACACAATTTCCAACATTCTTATGTTGGTCAATAATATTTTTACATTGCATTTTTTTGCAGCATCAGAATAATAATACGGATTATTTTCCTTTTATGAATTCCGTAGAGGTTAAACGCACAGCCTGCTAAAGTACAAGGCCACAGAGATGGGAAGGCTGCAAATCACAGACCATGCTGAATTAGCTGACCTGAACAGGACAGTAGCTGGCACATTTACAATTGGTTTTAAGCACCTCTGGTTCAGAAGAATAAAACTAGCCAGGGTTCCTGTTCTTGTTTTCTATCTAGAGAACTATATAAGAAAGTGAGCATAAATCAATAAAAAATAATTAATAATTAATTAAGAAACATTTTGGAGGGCAAAAGAGAGGAGCTTTATTCGTAAACGATCCATGGTCTAACTGACTTGCAACTACTTGACGATTACAGTGAGTGCAATAACTGGAAAAATGCTCCATTTCTCAGCACTGATATCCTTCATCTTGGATAGCACAAAACAAGAACAACGATTAAGATTAGAATCCTGCTTCAACTCCATTTCACCTTGCAGAGTTACTCGCTGTGATGAATAGCTGCACTGATCTGCAGGTACTACAACAACAAGAATTTGCAACTATGCATTACTGAAAATGCATCCATGCCCTCACCCGCTCTGTCTTCCCCCACCTTCACAACATTGCCCCAGCTCTGCCACTGTCTCTCCCCTCAAGCTGCCAAAACACTTATCCACGCATTCATCATATCTAGGCTCGACTATGCCAACTCCCTGCTTGTCGGCCTTCCCAACTCTTTCCTCCACAAACTGCAGATCATTCAGAACTCTGCAGCTCATGTTCTCTCCCTGCTCCATCCTACCTCTGTGACCTGCTAACCCCATATCAACCTGTCCGCTCCCTCCGCTCAGTAGGCTCTGGCCTGCTCCACGTCCCCGCCTGGCCCACTCCACCATCAGCGGTCAGACCCTCAGCCTCTCTGGCCACACCATTTGGAACTCCATCCCAGTCCCTTTGCCATGCTACCTCCCTTACCTCCTTCAAGGCATGTCTCAAGACCCTCATCTTTAAACATGACTTTGGCCACCCTCCTACCCCTACCCTCCCTACCCTCCACCCTCCCTGACACCAACCCCCTGTTCAGGTCCAAATCCCTGACTGTCCAGCACCTTGGGACGTCCTCCCGATGTGAAAGGCGCTATACAAATATAATTTGTTGTTATTGTTGTTGCAGTAGGTATGATCTTTACCATCTGAAAAATGGGAGATTTCCAAATAGTTAAAAACACAAGCTGAAGTACACCACCTTTTCATCAAGAGAGAATGCTGCTGGTTCTGGAAGTACAGCCAGGAAGATCAAATGGAATGAGGAATGGGTTTGCTTTTCAACAAGTTATTTGGCATTAAACTGTTTTGGCAAAATACCCATTTTGATAAAAAAAAGTAAAAATACTGGGTTTCTGGTATGCACAAACTGCAAGTGGCTTATTTGAAAGCATTTTCCACATCTAAAAGAACACCTTGAACTGATTATAGCTTGTCTTGCTTTATACAATAAATAGAATGCAACTTGCATAACACTCCCACGAGGTAAAATATGATAGTGGATGCATTATGCACAACCATCCGATAGGACAAATAGTAACACAAGTCAGGCTAACCAGATGAAAGATGATGGTTATAGTTCAGCTCACAAGCGCAGATATAAATCATCCAGAAATGCAATATGATAAATAACAGGAAAAAGGTTTTAGTTGAGGATAATTTTGTTGAGCAGCCAGAGAGGTCAACATGTCATAAAGTCATATCTGTGCAAACAGAAGTTTTAGTTTCAATGATATACAAAATATAGAGTCAGTTTTTTTATAGTGTATTCTGTGAAGCGTTTTGAGACTTCTCAAAGACGTGATAAGGCGCTGTATCAAATGCAAGAATTACTATTGTTATTAATATGTTTCCTCACACAAGTGTTATCATTTGGGATATGTCCCATAACCTAATATTAAAGCAAAATTTACACATTCTGTATAGAAATAGCAGTGAAGAGATGAGAGATGTGATTCTTGATATCAGTGATAATGGTGGTCTGAGGGGTGGTTTCCAACAAAACATTTAACAAACCATTTCAAAAACTCTGGGTGGGGAATGGGTTAAACCTATGACCAGTCTTTGGTTAACATCGGGTTTGAATGTAATTTTCAGCAATACCACTAGTTGCATTTTTCACTCTGGAAGCGCAACACTAACCAATATAGCATTATCAATAAATGTCTGTGTATGATGTTATATGCAAATATTTAATGCAAATATACAGTATTCTATTTACTATCCTCTACTTGTGGAGCGAATGATTTCTTTCAACATACTAAAATACTATGTGCTCCTCATCATCCCTCACGTAGTAATTCCCATTTGCGTACACCCTGTTTTCACTTGTTTGAACTATCACTCCACTAAGCATTATTATTCTTTCACAGAATGTCAAAGTACTGGATTTGTTGTGTCCCTTTTATTGCCCATTTAAAGACCTTTGGTCCTTGTATGGAAGAATTTGTTCAGTACTAGTATCTCTAAAAACAAACAAGAAAGCCATGTCTATAGAGATGGCTCTGGGCGATACTCAATGTATTATTCAAATAATTTATCATAATTAATGCTAAAAAAAACAATAATGCTGATCATAGATCACCATTACTCTGTGTTTCAGTTTACTTTCCAACTCAGCATTAAACACAACATGCTATTGGTTGGCAACTGGGTGAAGGCAAACTCAGCTTTCAGCATTCATTATGATAAAAGGTTTGTAGCTGGCTCTTAGTGCTGTCTTTCACAATCTTTACAGCAATGGTGCTAAACGGGAAATCCAGCCCAGATCGAAAGACAACAAATTCAGGCAGATTAAGATTCAGAATTGCAATTCACAGCACTGAGAAGAGGCAGATGTGTTGCATGGCATGACAATGTCATCTCTCAACCATTACATCATTAAATCACCAGCAAAAAAAAACGTTAAACCTTAAAGGCATTTTCTTACTTTTCCTGCCTTGAATTTCTTTGCAGTGTGAGCTGCCCATATACAGCAATCATTTTTTGAAGATGTGGGAAGCAGATCTGAGGTAATGGAGACAATGGACTGGTTTCATTTTTACCAAAGGGGCCCAAAATCATATTAAAACACCAGGCATTGCAGTTGCTGCATTAGAGTGTGAATATCATCTTTATTCAGTAGGGTAAAGGTTAAATTACAGTAATCCACTTCTACTTCCCACACCACAGGGATCACTGGGAAATCAGAGCATACCCAGTTTCACTGGACATGCTGAACGTTAATTAAATGGCCCCATTCTGTGATAGAGAACAACATTTAGATTACCGAAATGAACAGAAATTGTTGGAGGAAACGGCTGGATACGATCAATTGAAAATAATGAGCCACCGTTTGGTGATCATTGCTAGAATATGGTACCAAATAAATTGATGTATTCACTGTATTATTACCTTTTTCAATATGCATCCTTTTAGTTTCATGTCCTGCATCATGACTGGCCAGATCTCCTTCCTTGGGGCCAGGCAAGATAGTCGGAGACAAGCCAAGCAAGGCTTGGTTAATCGACAATCCATTCTGATGGACAGCTGCCAGTTCAAACAAACAATTTATCTTTTCAGTAACTGCAGAATATAAAACAAGTGAATATCAGAAACACACTTTCACCTGTACACCAACACCTGCTACTATTTTCTTGATATGGTTAATAATGACCTTCAAGGGCACAGAGAGCATCTAACATTTAAAATGCACGCATACATTGAAAAGATATGTATATGTATATGCATAAAGCATGAGCACTGATAACCTTACTGATGGAACTGGCCCTTAGAGAGTCAGGACAATTATTTGAGTTTTACATCCACAGAAACACAATCATTAAGTCACTGTTTAATGTCTGTACATACAATTCTGTACATTGTGGTAAAGTTAGCAGTGTTCCTAAATGTGTTCCTAAATGCACTCTGTTCTTTGAAATGCTTTAAAATAATTTGAACAGTTTCCTGCTTGTATTTTGGATTTTTTGTTAAATAAATATTGTAATCCACTTGCGAACCTGCAATATGAATTATGACTTATAACCTCAGTGAATTTATACCATTTACTTTGCTTCAAATTTTCTTAATAACACACTGAATATAAAGAGGGAGTGCATGCTACAGCGGCCATTGACAAAAAACAATAATTATGTAATTCAACCTAACTATTATCTCTTCATGTTTTTTGTAACAACATTTATTATGGCTGGTTTTACCTCTTCTCTTTATAACTTCCAAAGACACACATTGCAGTTTAAGCAGCACATTCTTTGATTATTGCATTCAGTGGTTCACGGAGTGCAGTGAAAGTGGAACTCACGCATTCTATCAGATGAGCTCTCAGTCCGAGCTGGGGAACTCGACACACTGCTGCTCCGGTGGGAAGAAGGATGGCTCCCTGGCCTTCGTCCATCTTCCAGGGAGGGTGCAGGTGAAGGGCTGTCAGGAACCCGTTCCTACAAACAACAGCAGAAAGAGTTTAACTTTTTAAAAAAACTGTTAAATTAATCAAATAGTTAGGAACAAATTGTTCCCTAAATCCAAAAGAACCAAAGAAAATAACTTTTCTGATACACAAAACAAGCAAAATATGTAAGAAGCATAGTTTTAGGAGGCATTTAAACATGATCTTCAGCTCCCCGATGACTTTGTGAGTTTATGCAGCGAGTACCTGCGTCCATATAGACCAGGAGGTCCTGGGTTTATACACCAGTCTGCTGAATTGGCTGATTTCAGCATTATAATTTGCTCAAGTTTTAGGGTAAGCCACTAGTGTTCTCATTCCTGATTCCATCCAGCAGCCTCAAGTAGATATGAGAGTGGTTGGACATCGGCCAAGGTTAGATCAGATTAGAGAGCCTCTGATGCTCTCTTGATCAAAAAGTCTGTCAATACTCAGGAACGAGTTTCACACAAAATAACTTGGAAATAGCTGAGAAACTGCAAACTGCATGTGAATCCTAAGAACGGCTTAAACTCTTTCTACCGGTCTAAGTTCTGCTATTTTATAATTATATACACTTACACAGTGAAATCCTCTTATATGCAAATGATTGGAACTCAAATAAACGTTTTATCCAAATGTTCAGAGACAGTTGAGCTCATACACCTTCCTTTAAAGGTTGCATGTCTAAGCAGATGTCTAGCAGGTACATGATTGTCAGTCTGTTAACCATTTCATCTTCTGGGATTGATTACATTTTGGATTTTCTGCTCCTGACCACTGTCTAGTGACCCAGTGCTTAAAAAGTGTGCGCGCATAAATACCGGGCAGGATTCACTTCAGACGGGATATCCCTCCAAGTCTGAATAGCCTGCCGACACTCACTGACATAAGCTAAACTACAGCATAAGCCAGGACTTTCAGGAGCAGAGGGGAGAAAATTGGAAGGGAGAAAAAGAAGTCATATTGCTTTGGACCTGATATTTACAATTTATTGAAACCATCTGTCCTGTAAATGAACAGGTATCTGACTGAGGTGAAATCTGAATGTATGTGGCCTTTGAAAGGAGAGATGGACTTGAAAGTCACTGAATGGGAAGGGAGGGGGGGGGAGAAAGGAAAAAAAATCATAATATTAAAATAAATTGCATATAAACAGATTTTGCATATAGCTGAATTACATACAAGCAGTGCAGAATGCACTGACACTTTTTTTGCAGAAAAAAACGAAATAAAATATAATGTCAATTTTACCATTATGCGGCCAGTGCGCCGGGTGCGGTTGTATGGCTGAAGCTGTGTGATGTAGGAGAAAGGGTTTAACAGCTGATTGTGATGATGTTCAACCTGAAGGATAACAGCATCACGTTAACATGTACTACAGTCTTACATGGGACATGATTGCTCACCAGTCTAAAGGATTATATACAGTGGAATCCTGTTATCTGCAATAAATTGGGCTAAAACAAAAAAAACTTCTGATAAGCAGACTTGTATAAAACAGGAATGGCTATATCAGTGATTAATAAATTAGGACTCGGAAAATATATGGTTCTGCTGCAGGAACTTGCATATAAGTGGATTTCACTGTATTCTATGTTACATACAGTATAATGATCCGCTTGTTGTACCATGAAAGTTTAATGATGTTAAAATGTCACTGTAATAAAAACATAATATGTACCCATATCCTCCCCATTTCCCCTACTTCCTGCAGATGAAGTATTAACCCCCATCTGACAGAGAATATAGGTTAAGGCTTCACATGCAGAACACCTCGTATTCTGCACTCCAGTTCTGTTGGAGGGTCACACCCGAATGTTAATCCATTTATCTCCTTCAGACACTGACTGACTTGACGTGTATTTCGAATACTTTCCCTTTCTATTTCACATTTCCAGCATACACAGTTTTTCTTTTTTTTAATCTCTGCCATTTTAATAATGTATAAGGAACTCCCTTTTGGCTCCATGGCCTCCCTCCTATTTACTCTTCCGACATTATTTATAATGTATGTATACACTTTCATATATAATTTGGGGTAAAAAAGTAATTGAATGAAATAGACATTTGGCATTCATTGGCAGCTCAGTTGGTAAAGTTACAGCTAAGTGTAAAACTAAATCTTGCAGATCTGGAAGTAATAGTTTTTAACTGCTGATCTATGCTGAGTTTGTGGATCTCAGCCAAGTAAGCATTTAACAGTTTTTTTAAACAAAGTCTGGGTAATATTCAATAATTGGGAGTTAAATTTCCGACACAGTCAAATATGGTTTCAGCAACCACTTAGGGGATTGGACCAAAGTGGTCTTCATATAACTGTAGCCTCTGAGTAATGAAGGTTCATTTGTTCGTTGACCCGACACGAATTTTGGGAAAAAAANTTCTGCAGGCCAAAAATTTCCGCAGACCCCTATGTAGACTTCTGCTAGAATCCTAGTATACTTACTAAAGCCACCTCACTGATGAGGCACAAAGCTGTAGGCATCACATACGCTGTTCAGTGCAGTGTTGGTAAATGCGCTAGAAATCTAGCGGGAGTCTACAAGCGGCCTGCAGATATTGGTAATGCATTAAGTACACTTAAATTCACTTAGAACTGGCCACTGAAAAGGGTGTCTGTACACCAACAGGGCTTAAAAAGAATGGTCACTGGTTGCATTAATGATGAATAGAGGTAGTTAATCATGGAAAATCAGTCGAGACTGTTGCAGAGTGGTTGTTGACAGCAGGTGGTTGCTGAATCAGGTTTGACTGTATTTCTCAATAGGAAATGTGTACTTATCAAATTGTGAAAAATTGTGAAAAAATCTGTGCTGAAGAATTTACATTCAATGTTTAGAAATCTGATAATTCAATATTTCTTACCAAGAAATTCGTTAAGTACCACAGATTAAACCCCAAATTTTCAACGGTTTTGATAGAGCTATTAAAATACCAATTCTCAGAGTTTTAATCAAACAATAAATAATATTGCAATGGCAGAAACTTAAACAGAGAGATGGATGTTCTTGGTATGATTTATAAATAAGGAGAAAAACAGGAGAATGTAATAGGACAGTGTATCAGAGCACTTCTACTAACCTATACTACACAATTTGAGGGCACAGGTCTAATTCTCTCATGTCAAAATTTCTTAGGTCTCACCAGGAACCTTCTAAAGAGGCGCAAAGGCATGTCAGCTCTGTAATAAGAGGGTGGGAAAAGAAACAGGCTACCATTCCCCAAACCATCTCTTGCAGCTGTTCAGGAGGCTGGTTTGTGGGATGGTAGATCACAAGTGAAAGAGGATAACAGTTAACGACTAAAGTACCCTCATTGATAAAGAGTCATCTTTGGCATATTTCCGTCTCTTGTGACCTTATCTTCTGACTTTTTATTAAATGAGTTACCAAGTAATATACTGTTGAATAATTTTGCAGAAATTGCTTACTGAATACAGGTAATGATGGTGAATATGACATTACAGCCTCTGTTATTTAAAACAAGGGGATAATAATTAATTCATGAGTTAAAGGAACAAGCTGTAGATTTCAATGGTTCAGATGAAGACCTTACAGTACGGTCCAATCTGTCAATTGGAAACAGGTTCTTTACATTAAAGCCCTATTGTCCCACTGACATGCCCCAAAAGAGCACGATCCTTGCTTAACCAGAAGCAGGTATCTAACTCTGGCACATCGTTAACAAGGCTGAGCACCGGGACACTGCGGACAGGTGATGAAAGACACCTCGTGCTTAAGCCACATCCAGGTCACAGCTGTCACATTCGCTGCAATTTGTAGCTGCCACAGTCTGCCATACCAGCTTGTAGCTGCCTTTCTGTAATTCAGCAACTTCCAGTCATCTTGTATATCTACACATTCCCACAGACAGAATGACATCTTCTGTGTATCTTACTTAGACAAGGATGACAGCACTCTCTGGAGCTTTCAAAAGCAAAGGTGCTTTTACAGCACTTCACAATAAAATGATAGTGAAGTCAGCTTTAAAACACAAAGTCTAAAAATAAAAAAAACAATGCCATGTCTGCTGCCTGATAACGTGCATTGTTAAAAGATTAATATTGAGAAATGTGCTTTATGTTGAATACAAAAGTTATCATGGAAAGAAAAGGTAGAAACAATTTAATCTCATCGCAAACATTTTCTGGGATAAAAGACCCGACACACACATAGGGTTACTCTTCAAATGCTCAGTGCATGTATACACGGTAACACTTTAAATATTTTAAGAACACCACAGCAGAATACTAACATAAGTATTTTATGTTGAAATATCTTGAGTTTAGGATATAAATCAAATTCACAAAAATAATTTTCCACGTATGCAGTGAAATTACATGTAAATCTACAGAGGACATGGGACACATTGAAATTACAATATTTGTGGTGGTGGTGGAGGGATGCAATTAATATAAACTTTTTCCCTTCTATTTAAACTGTTTATAGGATAGGTAGTTATTGGTCTTCCTTTACTGACCTTTGGTGCCAGTATTGACTCTGAGTGTGTTCTTTGCACTTTAGTTCTTTGTACTTAGTTTCGCCCACAAAATACACAGTGAATCCACTATACAGTATATCCTGTGAAACACTTTGAGAAGTCTCAGCGACATGATGAGGCATTGTATTATTATTATTAATGTGTGATAATGCCCATAATGATCATAGGAACAGGAACAGGCCATTTAGCCCCTCAATTCTGTTCCACCATTCTATAAGATCATGGCCTGATGTGTACTCCAACGCCATTTACTCACCTTTTCTCCATAATGAAGGATTAATGATACAGAGAAATACAACAGGAAAGTACTTCAGTTGATTACTGGGAAATGTTATGTTATAAAATGTCATGAACCATAATTCACTTTATTGCATGTATTTCTGGAGTGAGTTTTAAATACTACACATCTTACTTAATCATTTATATCTTCTTTAGGTGTTCAAAATATAGGATATTTAGAGCACTGACAATTTGGGCTTATAATATAAAGTCCATATTGTCAAAATGCAGTAAATGTACCACCATTATTTCATTGAAAGTCAAATAAATTACGTTAAAAACATAGCTAGACAATGGTCCCTTGAGCATTGTTCATGAAGTTATTGTTTGCAGATCACATCAACTTTGAAAAATCAATACCACTCACTCACTCACTCCGGAAATTTGCTGTAAATAAATATTGTCAGATCAACACTGAGATTTTGTGCAACAGGATATGTAAAGAACGTGCAAGGGGGGAGCAGTGCAGACAATCAGTGAACCTTGTGACAAACTGAGTTCTTCTCGCAGTTACAGTATCAGAAAGCATACTGTGCTATTTGTCGCCAAATCACGTTCTGTGTAGTGCTCCGAGTCGTTCTCCTTCGTGAGGGGCGCTATCTAAACGCAAGTTGTTGTTGGTTTTTTTGTGCTTGGACATGCATAAATTGCACGTACACATTTATTATTATTATTATATTATTATTATTATTTCTCCCCTTGATGAGTTGTGTTGTTTTTGTCTCCTCAGACACTGCCCCATTCCTTTTGAGGATTGTGAGGCAATCTGGTTTCCAGGCCTTTATCACTCCTCTAACCCAAAAATATAGTGGGCTAATTCATGCTCTGATTTTACACATAAATACACACACGCACAATCAGAAAGAGGAATTGATCATTTGGTGTACTGTGGATATGATATGCTCCAGCATCCTACAAACTTTAAAGCAATATTAATAATCTATTTAGTGTTATTTCAAGCCAAAAGGACTGATCTGTTTATTTGAAATGAAGCCAGAAAATCACACAATAAATATGCTTTGAACCAACCCTCCCATCCCATGCTACATTTGTGTTGCCCAGAAAGATCATCAAATTCTATCTCTCCGGTGGGTTACAGTTTGTTCTCATAAATCAGAAATGACAAACTTGTGTGTGTCATGGAGGTATTATTTGCAAATGAAACAGACTCATTGTGATCTGCACATTCCATCGTGCTCTACATTCATATTTTCCATCAGTCCCATATCCTGGATTCCCATTACATAGCGGGACAAATGTGATGCACAGGGGGTGCATCTACACACGTGCACAAACACCTCCTGGGCTCCTACCATAAACAAGCACACGCAAAATTCCCATTACACGCACCACAGAGCTCCCTTCACTGTGCATCAGAATTTGCATCTCACTCTTTCTCACATATACACGCACACCATACACACACACACACAGCATACACGCAGACACACACACACAATGTGTGACAGACTTATAAAAGAAAATCATGTTTACTGTGTTGCGTTAGATTCCTTTTATTCCCAATATACTAAAACTAGGGAAATTTATTCCAGTGGTTTGGTGACAAGAGGCTAGCAGAGATATGGATGTCAGCTGGCACATGACAATATAATTTATCTTATGGAATTTGACCTAGGCAGTGTATGTGAATGCTGTTATTCTTGCTACAGGTTATCTGCAAGTTATTCAATCTAATGTATGATAGCATTATGTAGGAAATCCATTGTTGTCAGAATACCTTGTACACATTTATTAATTGCTGGCTTGAAAACCAGAAATTCCTTTTTTTCTTTTATATGAAAAATAAAGTCTACCTCTAGATCAATGTGGATTCTGCTAAATAGTAACTCAACCATAACGTTTTCAACAATGTTATTTAAATTGTTTTGAGACACTGTAATTGATCTCAGCGCTCCTGGTTTGGGAAAGTTTCACGCTGAGGATTGCTACTGAGAGACCCTTCCCCCNACCGGAAAGTGACAAGACCAGGCTATAATACTGCCCAGGTTTGAATAGCCTGGTAACACTCACTGTCTGCCTCAAATATGAATGTTGGGGACTTGGGTAGGCACCTGATGTCCCCAGGCAGGCATCCGTGAAAGTGCACTTCAGAAGAAGAAATAAAGGTGTCAATATGTCAATATGAGAAGCGGAGCAGGAAAAGAAAATTGGTGGTGGAATAAAAAGCATGTGGCAGTAACAAGTAGGCCTCATTGTTTGCAACCAATTTGGCCATTGCTGTGACTATGAACAGCATAGGCCATTCTAAGTTAATGATTTACTTATTTATTCCACACATTCCAGGACAGAGTGACAGGAAAGCAGTGTGAACCACTGATGTGGTGCGGGACTGACCGCTAAGTACTTACCTTGATAACTGAAGTTTCCATTCTGGAGGGAGGATTCTGTACTTGAGCTGCAGCTGCCATATTAGCAATTGTACTAAGATGGTTCATCTGACTCATTGCCATGGTGACCGACGCTGGAGGTAGGCTGACAGGGATAAGTGGATGGGGCATCATCATGAAAGGAAGCTCGAGCCCTGAAAGAAGACAAAAGAGTAATTCTAACATTGTCTGTAAAACATTTGTACAGCAAGTTCTATGTGTAATCTGTGCTGGCAGTAAAGCTTAAATGGGATGTTCAACAATGAATATTAAAAGTTCAATTTAAATATTCATTTTGGCTTCATGGTTCTCTTAACTTTGTTGTGATATTTCGTCCTGGAAATCAAGTTTGGTTAGATCATAATAAGTACACTATATAATCTCACTCTTCAAGTTACATCTGAAGAAAGGAACTTTTTAAACCACTTTATACAGTGCAGCCCCATCTGTGGCTTGAGATGCAGACAACTATTGTGAGACTAAGTAGGTGACTAACAGGAGACAGAATCTTACAGGATATAACATTCAAACATGGGTGAACTAGGTGGTATCAATTGTTCTTTCCTTCAACAATTGTCTTCCCTTCATCAGAGCACCTTGTGGCTACAAACTGGGTATTTGCAACCTACTCACATTCGTGTTACATTGGACCTCAACCTCATCAACTTCTGAGTAGGACTCAAGTGTTCCAACCACTTGTGCTAGCAGCCACTGCCCTCCCTCCCATATTAGCTCAAAGCAAAAAAAAAACTCATTACTATGAAAGATACTGGGGTGAAAGTGCCAATCTTTGGCTCGTTTACTATCACACTGTTGAAAAATGAGGCTGAGTGACAATGGGAGACAACCTCTTCCCAACTCCATCACAATGGTTGGACCTGAAGCTCGCCCACAATGGCAAATTAACTTGCAATTAGAGAGATAACAGTTTTACTCTTGATTTTGTTTGTTGTGCAGTTAAAATGGTTAATTCCATCAAACAGCAGTCCAAATGCCACAATCCTAATCACGATGGCAAACATAATGGGTATGGAGAGCTGGCATCAGATCCAGTCACTGTGACAGAGCCTTTGGGGGAGCTCACATCCACAGACGAGTCAATGTCTTTCACTAGCATTGGCTGTCAATTAGCTCTTTTCAGCAATGTGTTGTTAACACATCACAAGATGCAGCTTTCATCCCATATTTTAAAATAGTTTGCAGTACAACAAATACATTTGCAGTTTATTTTCTTCATATCAGTATTACTTTAAGAATTTAAAGTTACGCACAGAATTATAGATTTTTTGTAAAAAAAAGTTAAATCAACCAGTAAATTCTAGATGTTCTAGATACCTTGCTAGACATATTTCTGAATATTCAGGGGGAATTGTAATAAGTCATCACATTAAATGTGAATTTGTCTTCAGTAAGTCATTGAGCTGTAAAGAGAAATAGTGGGAGGGCATAACCTTTCATACTGAGTCAGCGCTTGGCTCACCTCTGAAAACAAGTAGTGCTGAGCTTGGCACTTGCCACTCCACATGTCATCCTGATAAGATTATAATGCTCTCGAAATGATAACAGCTGTCCATCCCGATGAATACTGACATATTTTTAAAAAAATCCTTCATTGTAGCTACATTTATTTTAAATGCTACACCTTATTATCTAACACTTCACAAAGAAAGACTTACACATTTATTTCAAAAACAATGCCTGTCCTTTCATCGCATTGCTTTAATTTCCCCTGCCCTGTCCCCGGAGTTCAGACTTGCATATATTACTTCTTTCCTGCAATGACATGGACATTGATGTGGCTCACAGGTGCTGCAAGTGTGGCAAATTTCAAGGGATGTGATTCCAAAAGAAGTATCTTGCATTTTATAGCACCTTGTATATCAAAATGTCTCAAAACATTTCACAGTAATGTTTCCAAGTATAATGACTTTTTTAATACATATATCTATATGGGAGAGACAGAAGAATGGTTCCACTATCAATCATAAGGTGAATGACCGATTTATCAGGAGGATTTTTGGCCAGTACATCGGGAGGACTTCTCTTCCCTTTTCGAGTAATGTCCACCTAAGGATAAGCAGACAGAATGGTCTGTTGCTGGAGGCAAGTCAACAAGGGTGGGCAAAATCGAAATCAACCAGAATAACTTTCTTCGGTTGAACGTCAACAAGATCGAGGCTCTCCTGATTGGCTCCGTGACCCTATCACCCCCATCCTTGACCGACTCCACTGGCTTCCGATCACACAGATCAGTTTCATAGATTCATAGAATGTTACGGCACAGAAGGAGGCCATTCGGGCCATCGAGTCTGTGCCGGCTCTTTGACAGAGCAAGTCACTTTCACTAACCCCAATCACCAGCTTTCTCCCCATAACCCTGCAAACCCGTCTTCCCCAGATACATATCCAGTTCTATCTTAAAAGCTGTTATCGAATCGGACTTCACTACTCTTTCAGGCAGATCATTCCAAATTCGAACAACTTGCTGAGTGAAAAGATTTCTTCTAACCTCCCCTGGTTCAAGATCCTGGTCCTCACCTTCAAAGCCCTCCACGGTCTTGCTCCCCTCTACCTCTGCAACCTCATAACCTCCGGCCATTCTGCTCAGCTCCTTCCGCTCAGTGGGCTCCGGCCTGCTTCATGTCCCCCACCTCGCTCGTCCCACTATTGGCGGATGGGCGGGCCTGCTGCTGCGCTGCCCCCACCCTCTGGAATTCCATCCCGCAGTCCTTCGCCTCGCCCCCTCCCTTCTCTCCTTCAAGACCTATCTCAAGACCCTCCTCTTCGACCGTGCTTTCAATCTCCCTGCTTCCCCCGCTGCCCTCCCCCAACCTGATCCCCCTCAGCTCGGGTCCAAAACTCTGTTTGTCCAGCGCCTTGGGATGTCCTCCCAACATGAAAGGCGCTATACAAATGTAATTTTGTCGTCGTCGTTTTGTCTCTTACGTGGACCATTGAGTACATTCGGCCACTATTACCACCAGGCTGCTAATCTCTGCTGTTGGATTTATTAATCAATATTATTTTAGAAACCAGTGGAGAGGTACAATTGTAGAATGCTTACAAACCACATAGATTTATGTCTTGAAAATACAGTACTAAATGTACTCTTTGTCAGTATTTATTTCCTCAAGTATAGTGCTTAGATTGTGTCTGGATAGCAGATTGACTTAAATCTGCAATAACAGTGTATATCCATTATGCTTGTCTTTAATGAGAACTAAATTGCTCATGAGCTCCAGCAACAAAAAGTCTATTAATTTTGATTTAACATGAGTTAAAAATTGATACAGATAGAACAAGTCTTTATAGTTCACGTTCAGAACTTTAATGATACTTGCTTTTTAAAAAAAATACAAACTGGAGATTAATTTAGTCTAGAGATTATGTTCAATTCTATACAGTTAATCTAATATTCTGACGAGAGATAAAACCCAGTAGATTAACAACAATGAGACCAAACTATAGATTAATAAATTAATAAATCTATGCAATGTTCAGAACCACCCAATATAAAATCAGTTAAATCTCAGTAATGTTGGCGATGGGGGGGGGGGGATGTTCCCGTTAAATTGACATCATCTTGTGTTTGAGGCCAGAGTCACTGCCCTACGTCATTCTATTATGAAGAAGCAGCAGGACAAAGGATGTTAAATTGTAAATAACATTACACTATATTGTAATTATACTTTTAAAATTGAAATTCAATAATCTTAATGAACTCAACAGAATAGCTGTTTACCACATCAACGTATTTTCTACATGGAACATCTCAAAGATGTGATAAGGCGCTATATCAAATGCAAGGATTATTATTATTATCTCAGATTAGACACCAAAGCATTTTGTTTTAAATTGGTGCTTGTTGGTCTTTTCCTTCCACTTAGATTTGAGTCTGTGACCACATTTAGGATGAAAAGATCAAATCCAGTTTTGCTGAGGTTTCCATGTTACAATAATAATAATCCTTGCATTTGATATAGCACCTTAGCATACCATCAAGACACCTCAAAAAGCTTCACAGGATTTTACTGTTAAGTTTTAACTGTTTATTTATTGCTGAATTGTTGATGCATCACAGGTATAGCCATAAAGCCCTATTTCTTTTTAAAATTGCATTGCATTTGTGTAGAAAGCTGATGTAAATCTATATCAGTATTATTATTTTTACATTTTACATTACCAGGTGATCTTCTCCACAACCTTATGGAAAGCATATTGGATGTGATAAAAAGATGTAAAATTATATACAGTTTTCTTTGTGAAAAATGAAAACATCTCTATTGTTTATTGTTTAAAGTGCCTCCATTTGGGATCTGAAGTGCATTTCTGTTCATCTAATCGTACAGAGTCTAGTTGTGATCAACTAGGCTGAATCTAGGCATCTATATTATGAGCAAAACGTTAAGGAAGATAGACATATTATCATTGCAAGAGGAAGACTAATCTTCCTAATTTCTCCCGATTTGTGTCTCCAATTTATATTTCAGGCGGTGTGGAGGATGATCTTCTGCTCCATGTAGAAAATCCGTTGATGTGGTAAACAGCTATTCTGTTGAGTTCATTAAGTTATTGAATTTCAATTTTAAAGGTATAATTACAATATAGTGTAATGTTATTTACAATTTAACATCCTTTGTCCTGCTGCTTCTTCATAATAAAATGACATAGGGCAGTGACTCTGGCCTCAAAACTGAGGCCCCAAATTCCACGTAGTCTCAGCCTGCAAGAGCATTTTGTCGTAACATTTAACATCATGCTGAATTGAACAAAGTTCTAAAATACAATCTTACTTTAGAAGCTTGTTTTCCACAGTTCTTGAAGATAATCAGCTTATACAGTTTTTTTTCCTAATCCTGCATACATTTTGAACACAAAATTGTCTTTCGTGCTATGACTAGGTGGAATTTCAGGCCATTGGTCTATTGACACAATCCACAGTTTGACCTCTGCTAACAAGAACATATCCAATGATTTTGGACAACCTGAAATTTCAACGATTTTTCTCTTTAAAAATGCTAATTTTGCAAAAATCTTGCTGGAGACACAGTGGCTAAATACTGTAATACTAATTTTTTNGGTGACATTTATCTACTTCAATTGAATTTTACAACAATTGCACAGTGCATTAAATGGTGGCCTGTGTTGTACAATA